AACCCCACACAAGACCAGTAATATCAAGGGTTATCGAAGGACACTAGAACTGAAGGCAGTGGGCAGAAGGACAGACAAAAAAAAAAAAAAAAAAAAAAAACAAAAAAAAAAAAACAAGCAGAATTGTGACTTCAAGTCCCAGGAAACCATGAGAACAGTGGCATATCTGAATCAGTGTCTGGTTTCACTGGAAGTCAAGAAAAATCAGCTGAGTAACTTCATCCAAAGCAAACAGAGGCGATTCTTAACCTGTAAGCTCAGTGTTCCTTGGTAAAGAATTCTGGCACCAGCTCCAACAGCTCAGCACCATACATGATAGTTGGGCAGATCAGGTGCAGGCTTCCCCAAGAACCTTTGGATCACCGTTCCTATTTACAAGCACAAGGTCAGTGGCTGGCGTTTAAACAAATAAGTGCTTTCTCCAAACACACCTATTCCCTTGTAACTGCTCTGAACGACAGCAGTGAGATAACAAATGAAACACATTTCTGTGAGATCATCAGTGCTGCTGGATGGACCAACCGGACCGAAACACCTTGGACAGACTAATTCCACAAACAGTAGCACTAAAGAGGGAGGTGTACAACACTGAGCAGTATTGCCTTGGAAAACAAAATAGTTGAGATCTGGTCAGTGCTACTCGAGCCACTTTTGCTTTCACAATAAAAACCTGACAGGACCAATTACCCTGCCCAGAGCAGTCGGGCAGGAAATGAAGTGTAGGAAACCACGTTTGATCACGTGCATGCTATACTGAGTAAGTTTGTCCTAAGTAAGATCCACAAACACACGCACGCACACTCCAAGTTTTCTGTGCCTCGAGGCCAATACAACAGTTGACTACATTAAATGGCAATTTTCTGAGCTAAGTAATTGCAAGGAAGGAAACAGCCACAAATATTCAAAAGTACTAAAAGTATCAGTATTTCAAGGAGTTCCTAAAATCAAAGGTTTGTAAACTCTTAACTGCAACTGCTTTTGTTTGCCTTCTATCATCTTCTGCTGCCAAAGCTCACAGGAGATTGTCTCATGCTATTAGAACACAAGTGGCCAGACTAGTTACCAGAATTCCCCCATCTCAGTGCTCCTCTGACCACCCAAACTCATGGCTGACAGTCATGTGATCCTATTTCCTGACACTTCAATACGTACAAGATGAGTGGTAACCAAGGAAGCATGTGGAAAAACATCACAGGAGATAACGTAAGAGAAATCAAGTGTCTTTACCTTGTAAATACAGAGTGGTCTTTCTGATCCAAGACAATAATAATATCCCCTGGCTCCAGACCTGGCTCTTGGTCCCCTTCACCATGGAATGTTATTTTCTGACCATCCTTCATTCCTGTTGCAGAAAACAAATAAACATTTTTCTGATTTTTAAGGTAAAAGCACCAACAACGAACACTTCTATAGGCATGAGCTGGTATCAAGATATCTCTGGATCTTTAAGCAATAACATCAGGATCTTCCCTTGAAGCATTTTTTTTTTTGCTTTTTTAATCCACTCACTTGTTCAACAGATTTTAGTGTGCTAACCTGAATTCAGTGTTATGTCACAAGACCATCAGGTTTAATTGTACTGGCAAAAGAGCCACCGATACAAAGTCCTGAAGGGAAATATCATCAAAAATTTTCATTATATACACAAATACAAAGAAGAAATCAGAAACACTGTGTACAAACTGCATTTCAAGAGCAATTGACCAGTCAAATTCAGGCATTGCATAAGCTCTGCTTACACACGTAACAGTTGCAGGTTGTAATCACGACCTTTTACATGACTGTTCAAGTCAAGTACTTGTCAGCTCGCTCTGTCTTACAAGCTGTACTACTCCAGAGACTTCCCCAGCAGATTTTGGGCAGCCCCCACAAGAGAGGCATTTGTCACTCAGTACCATTACACTCACCCATCATGTTGAGGGTGTGTGTATTGAGCTGCATTTTGCCAGGCATGGAAGTAGTACCCGGACTGAGCAGCACTGTCAGGGTTGTGTAGCCAACAGAGTTCTAAGCATGAGAGGCTCAGCACTGTCTCTGCACCCTAATCACAACAGCAGACCTGGTTCCCCTTCACACTGAAACACAGCAGAAGCGATCAGAGTCTGCAGGGTTTTGCGGCAGGCAGTGAAAACTGACTAGGGCTATTTGACCATAAACTGGGCTTAGAGGGACCTGAAAAATAATTCACTGCTTACAATAATGCAGGTTACAGAATTCATTCTTAGTTATGTGCGGCTCTAGAAGTGAACAGAGATAGCTAAACCTTCCCTAGAAACAAGTCTACTTTTTGTAAAGCAGCAATAAGCAATTTTACTATGTATGTATTCAGCACTGTTACTCACCAAATCAACACCACGTACTTGCTAAAACTTCTGTTTTAGAGCTGCAAAGTCAGTCAGCACATCCAAGTGCAATACTTCACCTCAATACGACACCTCACCTTTGTCAATGTGCACTTCTAGGATCTTCTTCTCTCTAACAATTTTCCTGCCATTGCAGCTCTTACACCGGTCCTTGGGACTGATACGCTCCCCATGCCCCTGACACTCCATACACACGGACTGGATCTGCTGCACCATTCCTGGCCCGATCTGGTGAATTCTGATCTGCATGCCTGTTCCCCTGCAATTAGGGCAGCATTCTACTGCACCTTTCTTACCACCACGACCTGAGAACAAAAATTGGAGAGAAGTGGTTATGTGCTACCAGAAAAAAAGTCCCCAAAAGCTTTAGAAACATCTCCTGTTTAGTTTCAGTTCCAACATTACCTTCACATTTGTCACAGATAACGTTTTTCTGCAGAGCAAGTTTTCTCATTGCACCATTGTACATATCTTCTAAACTTACTGATAACTGGTGGACCACATTTTTACCTGTAAAAGAACACAGATTTACTTAAGTTTAGAAGCTTGGTCTGCACATGACCCTGACAAGCCATGATAAACCAAAACTGGGCTTTAAAACCTTATTTCAATTGGCCTTTGTCATGTTTTGTTCGTATTGGTCACAAACCCCTTCCCAGCTGCTGTCATATTAGGTAACAGTTGCTATGACTTCGACTCTGTTAAAGTCAGAAAAGACCTTCCGGAAAAGTACAAGTAGTAACAAGAACAGAACATACAGAACCTTAGACGCCTAAGTTCCATAATGCAGGACTCTGATCTTAACAAAGCCACCAACCAGATTTCCTACAAACAACTGAGAGACTCTATTTGGAATCTCGACTTCAGCACTTTCTTCCTCTCAGTAGGTGACCTTCTGGAACCAGAAATGAGCAATTACATTTTTACCCTCAGGAACCACTTAGCACTTCAGCTGCTGTAGGCTTAGTTTTGTACAGGATGCTAAGCTCTAGGTTGTTACAAGTACTTTGACACTCTTAACACTTCGATACAAAACATTTTTTTTCCCTTTTTCACCAGATCTGCACTAAGAGGTGATGAGATCAGCACTGCTCTTTAAGAAGTTTAAAGCTTTTCCCAGAGTGATTAAACTGGAATTTAACTTCTGGGTAGCAATTTACTGCAGCTTCAAATTAGCTACTGCAGCTTCAAATTAATTCCACCGCACAGTACAGGAACACAGAAAAGTTTCACACACTAAAATGGATCTTGATTTCGTGTTTAGATAGTTGTTTTTAGACGCTACACTTATAGCACCTTAGTTAACAAAGCATTTTGAGCTTCTTTATCCTTCCATTTCCTATTCTGTCCATTAGCAGCTCGGCTTACCCTCAGCTAAAGGCTCTTCAAACACATCTGGTTACCGATTAACAGGGGACGATACACAGAAGACCAAACTACCACCGTACCAACCAAACGCCCTTCCTTGTGTTTCATGCGTTAAGGGACAAGTTGTCGCAAATTTTCAAGTTAAGCCTGTAACTTCAGTATAAGTCTGTTTAAATTCCTACATCTACGGTACTCTCCTCAGAGAATCTGATACCCCAGCCGACACGTTACCTCGCCTCTCTCTCTGCATCCTTCCTCCACCGCCGAAGAACATATCGAATATGTCCATAGGTGACCCAAAGCCGCCGCCGGAGCCGCCCTCCTTGATAGCTTGCTCGCCTCCTTTGTCATACAGCTCCCTCTTCTTCGGGTCCGACAGCACTTCGTAAGCCTGAGAGATTTGCTTGAACTGCGGAAAGGACAGTCACTGGCACTCAGGCACCTGCAGCACCCCCGGCGGGATCTCCGCTCAGCCCCCTCCCGCCCGGCCCCACCGCCCCGGCCTGTCCCGTCCCGCCGACCTTCTCGCCCTCATTGGGGTTCTTGTCCGGATGATACTTGAGCGCGAGCTTGCGGTAGGCCTTCTTCAGCTCTTCCGCGGACGCGTTAGGCTTCACGCCCAGCACATCGTAGTAGGTGGTCTCCTTCACCATGGCGATGGCGGCGGCAGCAGCTGCAGGAAGCCCCCGGGACAGCGGGCGCAGATCCCGCTCTCCACCGCTCCGATCCCGACTCTTCTGGAAACTTCGGGCCGGTCCTGCAGCCCCGCCGCTTAACAGCCGGCCCCACCCCGGAAGTCCTGCCCCGCCGAGAGCCGGGCCCGGGCGAGCGGCCCACCAATGGTTGTTCGGGACGTCAAGGCACTTGGCCAATCAGCGCCCGCCTCCGCCGCCCGCATTGAGAGCGGGCCCCACCCCGCAGCGCGCGGGCGGTGGCTCCCGCCCTGCCCAGCGGCTGCCTCGCGTCACGCTTGCGCCCCGTCCGGTTCCCGCCCTCGGAGGTACCGAGCTATAGCGGGTACGGGACGCCGACCCGGCCAACGCCTTCCCGATACCGCTCCAGGCCTTTCCCCCCCTCACCCTCCGCGGGCCTGGCTCCGCTGCCGCACAGACCAGCCGGCGCTCCGGCCTGCTCCACGCTACTGAGCCTGTGCCAGAATTCAGCGCCCACCCAACGTCAGCGCGGGCCCAGTGCGCCTGCTCCGGGCCACGCGCCACAGCGGGAGCCGCTGCCTGGTCACGTGGAAGACGCACTGCAGCATCTGATTGGCTGAGGCGGGGGCGGTGCGAACGTCTCTCGCGGGGTAAGGGGGTGTGGTCAGTCCCCATGACGTTGCCATGGGAACGGGGACCATGGGGATGCGTGTGCTATTAGGATTGGGGTGCCATAGGGATGGGTGTGCCATAGGGATGTGGTGTACTGTAGGGATGAGTGTGTGTAGTACCCATGCTAAACTGGAGACGGAGCCTTGCTTTCTGCTGGGATGAACTTGCCACCACAGAGCTGTGAGGAATAGCGCTGAACACTGGGCAGGGTGAGGGTGAGAGATCTTTGCTGTCCAGGGTCAAATTAGTGTAAACTTGAAAGTTTCATAGTATGGTCTGTGGTTAACTGTTGCTGGATGAAGCTATCCCGACTCTCTCATCATCTCTTGTCTATTGCTGCTCTCTCTTGTTTTGGTAGTTAAGTTAATCTCCCAGATGAACTCTGATTCAAAGGGAAACAAATTAGGCTTTTTTGTGGCCAGGCTCTTCTGTCAGATGGAACTATCAATCCAATTGATTTTTCCAATATGTGGTTCATGGATGTGAGAATGCATGGTAGTAGTGTAGGAAGGAACACAAAATTACACTTTCAACAGGAACCTGCTCTTAGATTATGCAAATGCTGATAATGTGCTTTGCCTTGAATTTCAGAAACGTGAACCAAGTTAGCAGAATTGGCTCAGCTAATGGATGGGCTGGCAGTGGAATTCATGGACCCTGTTACACAGGAAGGTGCCCATTGAGAAGCGGTGTGTTGGTAACACACTGTTTATTTTGCTCTATAGTGCGGTGATGCGTGTGTGCTGGCTCGTGGGGAAAGAGAAATGCACTCAGCGAGTGAAACTGCCCCACTTGGAAGCTGTGGTGATTGGGCGTGGCCCAGAGACTGGGATAACGGATAAGAAGTGTTCGCGGCAGCAAGGTAAGGTGATTTAGCTCAAATCCTTCTTTCTACGTGGAGCAGCAGCTGAGCTTGCTTGGTTCCTCTGTGTAGTCTGCAGTGTTGCCTGGTTCTTGAAGTCATCAAGCCTTTTTAATAAGCACTTAAGAAGATCTCTGGGACCTAAAAAATCAGAGACACCAAATGACAGGATGTCCACCTCCATAAACTAAAGCATTGAACTTTAATGTGAGTTCTCAGGCCCACAGTTTTGTTGCACTGCCTGCATCTCTGCTTCGTGAGCAGCACTTCTACTCCCTGGTATATCACCAACTGATTTTTAGCGTGACTTAGCATTTTATACATAAAATAATATGATCTTGGAGAATATATGAAAATACCTGTCACCTGTACAATACTGCACATCTTCCCTGCCTTATCCTCTGTGCCTCTGGACACAGTCTTGCTATATGCCTTGTCACAGAGGACAAGATTGTCAAGAACATTTATAAAACATGAACAGAATCCACCTTCTTTCTGAAGTAATTCCACCCTTGGCTCAGTGTATGGGTTGGCTCTGTTTTACCTGTGGTCCTAGAAAGAAGAGATGAGGCAGAAATATTCTTGGCATACATTCTTGGCCTTTAAAAAGAGGAGTGTTTTCTGCACTGGATGGTTCAGTAGAATTCTTTTTATTTACGTTGTTTTGTAACATGTTGTTCTTTCTTTTCCAGTTCAGTTAAAAGCAGACTGTAACAAGGGGTATGTCATAGTTAAACAGGTATGTCTTTATGTGTGGATTTACAGTGTTTCTGATATTTACTGGGACAGTTGTACTTAACTCCACAAATGCTCCAAGTGATGATTTTGATCACTGGGTCTGAGGGTCCTGAAGCTTTCTTATCACCAAGGGCGGTTACAGCAAGTGGCTCTCAGAAGTGAACTGTTTTCTTTGTGCATCTCAATGAAAGACTGTACTATTCCTTCTAGATATGCTCTAGTCTAAGACAGGCAGACTTGTAGCATCAGGGAATGCTATTGTGAGTCTTCAACCAGTTCTATCAGGTGCTGCATTTGAGAGACTTTGGACTTGTTCTACTAAGCTTGCTTATCTTCCTCCTGAGCCTTAAACTTCATAAGCTGAGGCAGCCCTTTGTTTAAGGTTGAAGTTGTGTTAATGGGACTACGCAGTTGTAGGAGGTTTTTGTTGGTGGACTGATAGAGCCAGAGATGTAGTTACTTATGGGAAGGGATGGGATGTGAGAGAGCACTGCAGGAATGCTCATGTTACCAGATAGATGGAGGCAGGCCTACTCCCTCACACTTAGGAGACCCAGTATCTTTGAGATAACATGAAGGGAAAGGTCTCTGGTGCTGGCATTTGTGTGTGTGTGTGCCCGCAGCATCAGCCTGTATGGACCACACAACATGTTCTATGTACTGAGGGGTAGCATCTTCTCTCAAAATGGCTCCTGAGCCCACTAAGCACAGGCACCTCAGTGTTATCTGATTATCTGGCAGAGATATCTTGGACAGTTTTTCATAGAAATCAACCTTGTCATTATTTGAATACTGTGTTACTGGAATCTCAAAACTGGGAATATTTTCTGGTGGCGGGTGCTAGCATGTTTTCTCTGCCTGTTGAAGAGTTGCTCCCCAGGTGAGAGGTATGTGGCACAAGATTCCAGTGATCAGTTGTTTGATACTTTATTTGCTGATGGGAAGCATCCTTGACCTGAGTGAAACTGCAGAGCTGTAGACGAAAGAGATCCTAGCTGGAATCAGGCAGGCGTGTGCTTCATTGCAGTGAATACCAAGTGAGGGGTATAGTACCATCTTGTGAAGCATGCTGGTATGGCAGTGACAAAGCTAACGAAACACTCTCTGACTGAGTTCATCAGTCACACGAGAGAGCTGATTTCCTAAAGCCCGTTCCATGCATAAACATTAACCAAAAGCATTTTGCTGAAGACTCCTAACTTTCGTAGGGTCACCCATGTCATGAGGCAAAATCCATCTATCAAGCAAGCACTGTAACTTGCCTAGACCACAATGTGATTGCACTAAAATAATTCACCAAAACTACTGTTACTCCTCAGAAATAGTTGCTGCTGTTACTAGTTATTTAAGAGGTTGCTAATTTGGGAGGGAAGTGTGGCACAAGTGATGCTGTATCTGTAGCTGCTGCAGACCCAGGCTCCCTGTGACATCCAGACCTGGAGGTTGTGTGCTGACAGCTGTTACTGCAAGACTGGGACAGAAACAGATGTCCACGGTGCTGCACTGCCTGGTCTGCTAAAGCAGGTTGATGTGGGCAGGGTGGGGAGTGAATACAAATTGCATTTGCTTTCCAGGATAGTGGTATTCGAGGAGAACTGAGCAGAAGTTGGTGATTCCACTTAAAACTTAATTTTCTACTATTTTTTCCTTTTTCTGTCTACCAAAGATAGGGGTCAACCCAACTAGTGTTGATCTTGTGAATATTGGCAAGGATGAAGTGGTGAAAATGAAGCCAGGCCAAATTCTGCATCTTGTAAATAACCTTTACCCCTACACGGTGCAGTTTGCTGACGAGTTTGGGAAAACTGTTCCAAAAGCAGACAAAATGCTACATGAGGATCTTTGTGAGAATGATGATACAGAGCTTGTGCCCAGAAAAACAATGAAGTTGGAGGCAGATATGCAAGGCAGTTCTGCAAATCCCAAGCTAAGCAATACCAGTGTATCTACACATGAAGGAACTTCAAGGAATAAGGCAAGTGTGTTGGTACTAATATTTGTGCTGTTTTCTCCTGGAGTTGTTGCCTCCAAGAGGAGGAGGTCTTTTGTGGATTCTGCTGGTGGCAGGCATCTCAGGTGAGCACAGATCCTCAAAGTATACAGAGCATGAGAGGTGTTACGTGCTCCAGACATCACCCAGACTCTGGGAAAGTTACTTGGGACCCATTCTAACCTGACCTGAGGGTTAGGTGTGTGTGAGGGGGCTTCCCTGTGGCAAATGAGGATTTAATCTCTGGTTTCTGCTAGAAGGACAGTCCATGTGAGTTCCATTTAACTGGAGTCACTCAAGGACACTGGCCTGCCTCTTGAGTGGTTATCTAAAAGCAAGCGCACAGAGAACAGAACAACCTGAGTATTTTCATTTTTTTTTCGTTTGTTTGTAATTGCATTGAGTTTTTTTTTCTTCTCCTGCTTTGTTCATTCCGTATGGCAGAACCATGTTTACATTAGTGTTACCAGCCAGAATCTTTGAAAGGGAACTTTTAAAAGCCCTGTGACATGGGTAAAATAAAAGACCTTTGAAACTAGTGCAGTGCTGGAGGAGAAGGCACAGAAATAAAACCACTTAAGGCAAAATCTTAATCTCAGATTTCTGTGAGTTAACCTCTTACTTCATTTGTGGGCTTGGGCTAGTTATATTAGGGCTATTATAAAATATTATAATTAGATTTCTGGTGGAATGAGTAGGGAGATGACAACTCCTACTGTTTCCTTGCCAGCACTATAATAATACTTGAATGTCTTCCTTTATAAGAGTATCATTATTGATTAGTTAAGACATCTGTTTTGAAAAAGGTGCATTTCAGACGCACGTCTATTAGGTGTTCTGTAGCCAAGTTAAGAAATGGGTTGGCTTGATCTTTCTGTGCCTTTCTTGTTTTCTCTACAAGCCACTACACAATATAAAACAATCAGTACATCTAAGGATAAGGCCATGCACTGCAACTACTTAGTTCTGTGCAGAGCAGTATAACTGGGATAGGACAGTTAATGGAGATCTTTGTTCTTTCTTTGGTTCTTGTGATCCCTGAAGCAGAGGGCCTTGTGCCATGACACGTGCAGGCAAATCATTAAACACATTTATAGCTCCCTGTTGTTAAATTTCCGATGTTTGGAAGATTGAACTTTCCATCTTCTCAGTATCTTGTTAAAAGTTTTCAAAAGTAGCTTTTTGAGGGCAGCTGGGGCAGGTGTGTTGGTATTTTATAGAAGGGAAATAATTGAGCTGTCATTCAGCTGTTATTGTACTGCTGTATATTACTGAATGTTCTTAACTGAATCCTTTAAAATACATAATTGGGCTCTTAATTGTCTTACGATTTATTTTTCCCATTCTGTGTCATAGGAACATTTAGGACACTGGAGTCAGGGTCTGAAGAGCTCCATGCAAGATCCAGAAATGCAGGTGAGAGGTGTATACTTGTACTCTACAGTAGATCCTGTCTAGCAAACTAAATGAGCTTTCCTTCTTCCTTCTGCAATTTGTTTTAACAGTCTGGTTAATCAGTGGAGTCCTGCATAAGGGCTGATATGTACTTGGAATCTCTTTCTGTAATAACGTTAACTTGGGAGTCTCTACTGTACTGATTTTGCAGAGTGTCATTATCTTATCTTTGAGTTCTCTGTACTGTGAGATTTGGCCAATAGATTTCAAAAAAGTTGATGGGAGAGCAGGTGAGCTTTGCTGTTGCTTTGTTTCCTCAGGGAAACCAACTAAAATGGGGTTATCATTTGAAGCTGAGCAAGCCACAGAGGTTCCCATTCTCCAGCAGTCAGCACTGTCATGCTTCTTAGTGCAATTTCCTGGTTTCCAGCAAATTCTTAACTTTCACACCTTTATGTCAAATGACAGGATCTAACCCCTCGCCTCACTGGGCCGTTTGAGATGATGATCACTGTCACTGAAAATAATTTAGAGTCAGTGTATGTAGAATTGGAAGGTACCCTTCAGGATCATTGAATCCAACTCTTAGCCCTGCAATGAACATCCCCTGACAACAGAAATCACACCATGTACATGAGATCACTTGAACTCTTGACGGACCTGGTGCCACGACAAATTCCCTGGGGAGCCTGTTCCAGTGCCTAGCCACCCTCTGGATGAAGAACCTTGTCCTGATATCCAGCCTAAGCCTCTCCTTACTCAGCTTCAGGCTATTCCCTTTGGTCCTGTCACTGGTCCTGAGAGTGAAGAGATCAGTGCCTGCTGCTTCTTGTCCTCTCACACCAAAGTCCCCTCAGTCTCCTCCAGGCTGAAAAGACCCAGTGACCTCATTGTTCCTCATATGGCTCCCTTTCAAGGCCCTTCACCATCTTCTTAGGCCTCATTTGGACACTTTCTAAGGGCTTTGTATCTTCAATTGTGTCACCCAAAACTGCCCCCAGGATTTGAGGTGAAGCTGCTCCAGTGCAGAGCAGGACAATCCTCTCCCCTGCCTGGCAGCAGCCCAGGACACAGGTGACCCTCCTGGCTGCCAGGGCACTGCTGACTCATGTTCAGCTTGCCATTGACCAGGTCCCCCAGGTCCCATTCCATGGAGCTGCTCTCCGGTCTCTCTCTCCCCAGTCTCTCTGTATGTCCAGGGTTGCCCTGTCCCAGGTGCAGAATCCGGCAGTTTCCCTTGTTAAACTTCTGCCCAGCCCTCTAATTTGTCCGGGTTTCTATGCAGGGCCTTCCTGCCTTCAAGGGAGTGGACAGTTCCTCCTAGTTTAGTGTCATTAGCAAATTTTTTTTCTATTCCTTCCAATCCTGTGTCCAGGTCATTTATGAAAATGCTGAATAGCACAGGGCTGAGGTTGGAGCCCTGTGGAACCCCACCAGTGACAGATCACCAGTCTGATGTCACCCCATTCACTGTAACCCTTTGTGCCTGATCCATGGCCCAGTTCCTCACTTAGCTGCTAACTAAACAGAAGGCTCCATTTCTTGATGGATTTTTTTATTAAAGTTCAGGTGTGAAGTGATGAACTGCTAGATTTACAAGAGAACTGGATGCCCATTGTCCTAGAATTGCCAGGACTTTCAAATGAGTCTGTCTATAGGAGATGATAAAACTATGGAAATTCTTCCTTTTTAAACACGAAGCTTAATTTTAATCTGTGAAGCAGGATTCTATATACTTACCAAAACAGGGTTTTCTTGACCCAAAATGTAAGCAGGTTTTAAAACTGTTCTTTTAATGTTAGACACAAATAACTGTTTATGAGTGAAGGTTAGGTTTATTAGTTGTTGTTTCAATCTCAATACACAAATAATAGAACTCCTATCTTTTCTTTTTAGTCAAATATTAAATGGCAATACTTCTTTCTTCTGGAAAGACTTGAAAGAGATCCTGTTCCTACTGGTGGCAGGAGCAGACACTAATATGTGTGTATAAAATACCTTGTGGCTGAAAGAATCAGTCCTATGATTTGTGTACTGATAGAACTTTAATCTTCTTTCCTGTAGAGTAAGACTGATCTGTATATAAACATACAAGAATAACTAGTAAAGGCGACAAAGATATCATCCATCTATCATCAGCAAGTGCACTACTAAGAGACCAGAGACACAACCTGGCAGCTTTTTATTGCTGGGTTCTCCCCACTGTTTTTCACAAGCTTCCCAACTCTTTCTCTTCCTTAGCTGCATTGAATTGTTGCAGAAGGCAAAACAAAGTGAAAACAGGAAGAAGGGCATGATAGACAGGAACCTATTCTCCTTTTGAGTGATAGTGATCTCATAAAGCAGCACACTGGGTAGGATGAACTGAAATTCCCCAGACTTTAATATTTTTGTCTTTGTAATGCTGGTGGAGATCTGTACTCCAGAAATCTGAAGCCCAGTGCATTCCTACATGTTCTGTATTGAGCACAGTGGTTTTGTTTGTGACTGCAGAGCTTGAATGTAGCCTGATAGAAATTGAGCTCCCTAGGCCTCACTGGTATATCAGTCTAGGTGATTTTCAAGAGTTCATATACACCTGTAGCTGTGGTTAACTACTGCAAAGTAAGATGAGAAAGCTTTTTCCTTTTATAATAAAGTATATGGAAAAGGATGTTAGAACACTTCTCCATAACTACCTGGTATGTGTTATGAAAGAGTGTGTTTATCCTGGAGCAACTTAATTCCAGCAAAAGTTCTTGTTGAGTAGCATCTTTCCACTAAATATAGTACTTATAGGAATAATATATTTGACTTTCAATCAGAAAGTAATCAAGTTACTTCATTTTTTGCAAGGTTTACAAAGATGAAAAGACTGTAGTCATCAAGGATAAATATCCCAAAGCTCGTTACCACTGGCTTGTGTTACCATGGGACCCCATTCCAAGTCTGAAGTCAGTCACCAGGGACCACCTTGAACTCCTGGAACATATGCATGCTGTTGGGCAAAAAATGATCGAACAGTGCCCTGCCAGAGAGAGCCTGGAGTTCAGACTGGGGTACCATGCTATCCCCAGTATGAGGTAAGACCTAGAGGAGTCGTGTGGTAGACATACTGTTCTTCCAGTAACACAAATCTGGGGCTAAATCCATGAGGAGATTTGGCATTGCTGAAGAACGGGCAATCCTCCTCAACACTACAGACAGCTGGGTGTGCAGTACTTTGCCCCGCACTGCTGTAGAGATCCCAATGCACAGGCATCTTGGCCGTGGTGGGAAATGCCTGTTGGGCTTCTCTAGCAGAGGTTGGTGCCTGGAGCTGTGGGATACCTGTGGCCCAGCCCCTGTGACAGGAGCACTGCTGCCAGTGCTCAGGCGTCCCCCACTCAGGGCACCAGTGTGGGATTAGAGACTGACACCTAGACCTGTCAAGTCCTGTTTAATACCAAGCAAGGATTTGAATCTTGTGTCTAGGTCCAGACCTTAGAGTGTCCAAGTGCCTGTTGATACTGCAGTCAGTTGTTCTCCAGTTCTTGAATGAAGCTTTTGAGCACTGATCAAATCTCATTCAATTAACTCTACAAATAATAAAAGTTTGGTTTATTAATAAACCTTTAATAAACCTTTGGTTTGCTAACACTACTGTCTCCACCTTTTTGGAAACTAGCAGGAATATAGACTGCAGTGAGGGGCCAATGAAATATGCAGGCTAGTGACCCTGACTGTTTATAAATGAAATGCTTGGCAAGAGACAGTGCTTCCAAAAGAGACTGTATTTCTTCTGTCAGAGGGTCAGGACTGACACACAAGGCTGCATTCTGCTGAATCATGTTTGCAACTGATTCAACTGCAAAACAGCTTTGAGCATTAACCTTCTTCTCTCATATCTACATTATATTTTTTTTTTCAGTCAGCTACATTTGCATGTAATCAGCCAGGATTTTGATTCTCCAGCTCTCAAAACCAAAAAGCACTGGAATTCTTTTACTACAGAATACTTCTTAAACTCTCAAGGTAATGATTAGAAAAGTATTTCATAACATATAATCCTGCTTGTATGTTCTGGCTTCGGACTTTTATTCCAAACAAATGTGCAAGTCATACATTTTATTGCAGCAAATGAAAAGTTTTATTTAATATAAAATACTGGGGAGTAGCACTGAGTAAAAGTCAACAAATTTTGTGGCTGGTTTAAATTAGAATGTAGCAATGACACACTGTGCATGCAAAATAGTGCACATAGATTTACAGTGTCGTGTTTCATGATGCTACCTGATCTCAATGCCTTTGGTCTTTTTTATTTTTATCCCCAGATGTGATAGAGATGCTAAGAAGCAAGGGAAAAGTGATGGTGAAAGACCATACCTCTGAACTTCTCAAGCTTCCCCTCAGATGCCATCGCTGTAAACAACAGCTGTCTACAATCCCACAGTTAAAGGAACATCTTAAGAAACATTGGCCAAAATGATTTTGCAAAAAATCACCTTTCAATCTGTCTTTAGATTTCAAGCCAACACAAAGACCACAAAATGTTCACAGAAATGTATGTTTATTAACTGGAATGACAAATGTAATGCAGGGAAAGGTAGCCTGGAAACAGCAGGATTCTAATTTAGTAATAGCTTCAATAAAAACCCAAGCCGTCTTCTTCTCCCTACTAAAAATACAAATAAAGTGACTTCTGAAATAGAAGCTTTTTGGTTGCAGCTTTATTGTGATACAGCCACACTAATCTGTAAGTGAACTGAAGAAGTCGGGGAGAAGTGCTTTGTTTGGATGAAAGGATTTATTTTAACTCAGAAGCTGAACTGAACCCAGGTCTAGGTTTCTACTGGGAAAGAAACAATGATTTAGAGGCCTTTCTATTGGTGGCTTCTGCCTACCACTGAAGTTCCTCCTACACGTTAATGTTGCAGGCACTGGTGTGGCTGACAGAATGTACTGTCAGTGGAGGGGAAGGAGCAACAGCTGATCATCCCCACTGAAAGGCCTGACAGTTCAGTATTGCTGAACTGCCCCTCAGCTATGGTGTGCACTTTGCCCCTCATCAGGGTGCCAGGACAGCCACTGCTCAGGCTCTAAGTGGGGCAAACAATCTCTTTTGGGTACAAGGATGTATTTAAACGTTTTTATATGAAATACATGTGTAATACACAATGACCAGCTTTACTGCTTCCCAGAGTAATAAAACTATCAAGATTTGTAGTTGCTTGTCTGTGTATATTGAGGTTGGTACAGAAATTCTGTGCTTTAATCCTGCCCTCTTTCTCCAATCAGGATTTTAGTGAGCCTCTAATCATTTGGTTGTTGTCAAGATGTGAACTTCCCAAAGCAGCAGAACACTACTAATAAAAATCTCTTGCGTTCAGATTTGGTTTGTACAGTTCAACTTCATCCTAAGCCTAGCTTTGAGTTAAGTAAGATGCTCTCTGGGTGAAATGGCTTTCAGCAAAAGAGTGCATAGAGCTTTTGCTATACAAGCAAAATGCCGCTCCTAACAATAACAGATTCTGTGGGGAGAGTGTCTGCTTCTTCCATTCCCCCATGCAGCAGCATGTTGCCCCACTCAAATGGGGCAAGTAGTAGGTTGATGTTGCTGGAAAAGATGTTTCTGTCGTAAAGTTGCCCTCCAAAGTGTATTCTTTCAACCTGGGTATGCAAGGAGCCAATCCATACAGAGGGTTGTGTTTATTTCATGTTTGTACAGAGATGGGTGCTGGGTGGTGAATCCACAAAGCCAGCACACCCACTTCTAGCCAAGCACTTTCAAAATATCTAAGTCTGCACTCACCTGATGTCTAAATATCTGCCTACTCAACAGGTATTGGACAGTCTTTTGCCTGCTTCGATTTAAAGATACAATGCATTTTTAATTTATTGCATGTGTTCAGTAGGTAGGATTATTAATTTGGAGGTGGGTAATTTAAGCTTAGAGATGTGGTTTTCACATTATAATAAGCTATGTTCATCTAAAGAATGCATTTTTAGCTGATTTAGTTAATTCCAGTAAAACATTTCCAGTAAAACATATGGAACGTTGCCAAATGCAATGTCCAGTATCTTATTCAAGATTTCTGTTTGTGTTCTCTACTTGTTTCAAAACTACTCTGCAAGACCTTGCCATTTCCCACTATTCTGTGTCTTTAAAGTATTTATTGTTCTCTTGCGACTCACTGTGCAAAATTTTTTCTTAAACCATTCATCTTTCACCATAGTGGCATACAGTAAGGTGAAGGATTGGTCATGGCCTAATTTAAAACACCAGCCTCAGTTCAGCTTTTGTTGACATCAATAATAATATGCCTTAAATTATAAAATAAAGCGTAGAGAGTTAGGAACAATGACAAAAGCACAGCCAGTTTGTGAATTCATTCTTGACACAAACTAGGGCTTCAGCTGGCTCGAGGTAAAGTGCTAATGCTTTGCAACAGGAACTAATTTTGGACAAAGACCAGTTGCAAATGCTGGAGAGCTGTGTTCTTTCTTATGGCAGACACAGGCAAGAATGGGAAGCCATGCTTCTTCACGCTGAAATGCACTGCTTATGGCCCATCACATCTGGGTGGGAGTCACGGTTTTAGTACCTCTCAGAGCAGGTCAGAATGAAGCATAAACCCCTATAATCCATCTGTATGGGAACAGCATGCAGCCAAGTCAGTTGCCACACACTCAGATGCAGAGGGACAAGCCTATGTATGATGTAAATCAGTGGAATCACCAGAAGAACTGCCACCAGCCCTGACCCCAGGGGGAGGCAGGGCAGCATGTCCAGCACTTGCTGTGTGAGGTCACCACTGTATGGGAAAAGTCTGCAGGAAGACAGCAGTGGGCACAAGCTCTCTGAAGCCAACAAGGGGCAGCCACCTACAGGGATAGCCTCAAGGCCATGAAGGAAACTAAGGCAGAAAACACAGATGTTGTCACAAGTTACTTTGCATCTGTGCAGGGGACCCACAGCCTTCCTCCAATCTTTCATGTACAGCTGGTAAGTCCATACAGGAGACTGCAAGCAACTAACACGACAACAGCCTCAGAATAGCAGCATAAGCTTAACACTCAGCAGCCAGTAAGCTGCTGATAAAACATCTTCCTTCCATCCCTGGCTGCAATTACACCTCTTCTGGAGTTGTGTTATCTTCTGTGATAGTTACAGGAATGAGGCCTAAAGCCAAGGAACATGTGGTAAGGACTTCCAATGAGAGGTGCCACAAGACATGTGGTGAAACAATTAACATGGGCTGATGGTAGGCTGATGGGGTGACAGGCCAGGTGACTCTAGCTGCCCCTGCAGCTATCCAGATGAGAGTGGTGCGAGTTCTGTTCCACTCTTATGAAAACCCCACTGCCTTTATCCTCTCTTTGCAATACTCATTTACACAGAAAGTGGTTCTCTCCCTCTCCTCTCCAATGACAATTGCAGTTACAGAATATTTGACTATACTCTTATCTCTGCTTCTCCCCAAAATAATAAATTTATTCTTTGAAAGCCTCCAAGGCAGAGGATGAGAACATGACCACCTTGCAGACAAGTCAAGGATCTTACTTGTTTTTTCCCCCTGAGTAGGGATGCCTCTTTGGAAAGATCTGTGGCTCTGACTCCATTGGAGTACACCTGGGAACAGCTGTACATAGTATACACTTGTATTTTGCAGGTGTGTTTATCACTGGAAATCTAACAAGACCTTTTGCTCCAGTGAACCACACTGTTTGTGGATCTGTTCATGAAAATTCCTACTGAACTTGATGGATTTATTTTCCTTTTGTGTTTAATGAAGCTAATCAGCAGACAGGTGAAACATACCTAACAAGAGAAACAGGTTTCCATACAGCCATATTTGCTCAGAGGCTGAGAAATTTTTAAAGTTAACTCCATATTTCTGCATTAATGACTTACTTCCATTCCTGATAACTGTTTATAGGAGCCTCCACAGAATTCATCAGAGCAAATTCAATGTGTCAATAACGACAGTAACTAAAGCTGAGTATATTTCAAGATTACATGCTCCACTAAGAAAGCAAAAGAACACGCCAGCAGAAATCAAGGGAAAGCTGACTCCTAGCTGCTGCTGAGAATAAACGAAGGTACAGCAACTGCAGAAGTAGTAAGCAGGACATGCCCCCTCCAGGCTCACCAACACTAGGTGCTGCTCCCAGCTCTACTGCTCCTTACTCCAAGTTCACTCAGGAGAGAAAGGTGTAGGGGAAGACAAGAAGAATTCAGTGCTGAGTGATTTAGAAGACTGGTCTTTCACTTGCATGGCAGATTTAAAGGGGTTTTGCCTTGGTGGGAGATCAAGAAAGCAAGCCTAACACAAAAGGGTCTTTGGTTTTCACAATCACCATGATCGAAAAGCAATCATACACATACTTAGGTACAATCCTCAGTAAGCCAGTGGCAATTTTACCTTTTCTTGTGTTCTCTTTCTAGTCAATAGATTAGGTTATGCAAGATGACAGCATTTCCTGGCATCAGATTTAGGAATGTCAGGAATTACTGGTGTCAGTGTCACATTTCAGTTACAGGGCCAGAGTGCTCTGCAGAGGAGCACAGACTTCCTCATCAACCCTTTCTCCAGATCTGGTAGATGTCTTCTGTATTTTACCATGGACTGTGCTCTGCTACCATTTTGAAGACTGAGAGCCTGTAAAACAGTCTTGCCCTGTAAAGCCTTTCATGTGTTTTGCCACCTCAAAAGGCTTTATTTACTTTTAGAAAATCTCTTTCCAGTGTAGTCACAGTATTTAACAACAGGCTTAAGTTATCCCCACACAATTGAAACTGACAACTGGAAATGAGATGTGCTCCAGTGCTTCACACTGACAAAAGACTTTTAACACTCCTCTCCAACAAGCCCAAGACATACAATGCAAGACCAAATGGCCACTCCAATTTGATGGAGCTCATGCCACACAAGAACAGTGACCTGCAGTACTGCACGTGCTCATGCTGTGCAGTCAGAACATAGCTCACTGCTGTGCTATTAAACACCTCCAACAGACAGTAAGCACCTTGTTTGTGTGGTGTTTTTCTGCAGCACCCAACAAAAATGGCCTGAACACTGCAGCTGCCAGGCCAAAATTAACCAAGAAGGGGATGCTACCACTGAAAGGGTTTGCCCTGCTCCTAGAACTGCTGCTGTTACTTCTTGCATCAGATCACAGAAGTATTCTGGGGTAGAACCTGATTCTTAGTACAAGACCAGTTTCTAGATGACAGGGTTCTGCAATAGTGCACAGCATTATAAGGGTACAGCTGCTGATCTGTCAGTGCCATAAAGCAGAATTAGTCTATGTGCTTTAATCCCAGATAATTAGGGTAGCACTACCCAGCAGAGTGTGACACTGACACCTCTGCCTAGCTTTTATTCTTGTTTTCCTCTGTCCAAGACCGCCCTGGTGTGAATGGGCCCAGTTTCAATACAGCAATGGCTGTTGGCACTGCAGGATTCATTCTGATGTAACAAAGCAATCATGAAAATATGGTATCAGCAACACCCAGCCTCAGCAGAGAAAACACAAACTTTGTTTAGCAACTACAGCAATTTGCTGGTACGTCTTACAGGCGAGTTCTCTACAGCAGGTTGAAGTGCTTAAAATGTAGCCTGTCATCATGGCAGGTATCAACTCTGGGAGGGAGGGATAGCAGAGAAGATAACCCATCCAATACTGATGGGATTGCTTCATCCAGAAGT